ACCCAGCTACCTCCAACCGACCTCCTCAAGTATACTGCTGGCGCTGCAAAGGACATCATGCACCAGCCTCATGTCCACAATGGAAGGCTGATAAACATCGGGCTCAGCCTTCAAAGTCATCAGGCCCACAAACATTGACAAATTTACAGGCTCAAGATCAATCAACATCCCGATTTATGGCCCCCACAAACCACCCAGGGGCTTCTGCCTCTGTGAGTTATTCTCCATCACCTGTTGAATCCCTCCTGCCCAGTCAGTTGATGATTCCACTGAACATTGGTTGCTGGAAAGGAACAGCCATCCTGGACACAGGCTCTTCCTATACACTGATAAATGAAAGTATTTGGTCAAGAGTAAGTGGTCCTCAGGATGTACTTAAACCATGGACCAGACAACCTTTGTATCTAGCAGATGGAGAAGGACGGCAACCATTGGGATGGAGTGAACTTACTCTGACCATACAGTCGATAACAGTGAAAATACCCTGTGTAATCCTGCCTGCAAAGAGCCTAGCTTTCTCTGCAGTGGTTGGACTTGACTTTATCTTCTTTTCTGGCTTACAGTTTGATGTTTCTGAAAACAGTTACTGGTTCAAAAGCAACAAAAATAAACACTATGCATTTATAAGTGCATCTTCTGAACAAGCCAAAAAATTTTCTCATCCACATATTGCCTTTTTTTCTGCTATAGCTCCCACTCAGACCACATCTCTTCCTCTATGCCATGATCTCCTGGAAATGGCTGCACAGGATGCTCATCTGGATGACTTTGGGAAAAGACAACTGTTATACCAACTGCAAAGCAATAAAAATGTTTGTACTAACAACTTGGGATGCACTGGAGTCCTTACACACAAGATCTTTCTCAGTCACAACGTGCCCATCAAGCAAAAACCCTACCGGGTGTCACCAATCAAACTTAATATCATCAAAGAGCATGTACAAGAAATGTTGGAAAAAGATATCATTGAGCCATCCATTTCCCCATATGCTGCTCCAGTAGTTCTGGTTCCAAAGAAGCAGGATTCTAAGTCTAGATTCTGTGTGGATTACCGAAAACTAAATGCCATCACACACACTGATGCTTATCCCATCCCTAACATCCAAGAAATATTGGAATCACTAAGTGGAGCAGCTATATTCACAACTTTGGATCTCAACAATGGTTACTGGCAAGTTAAAATGGATGAAGAAAGTTGTGAAAAGACTGCTTTTATCTGTCCCCTTGGTTTATATCAATTTAAAGTGATGCCATTTGGACTCAAAAATGCACCTGCCACCTTCCAGCGGCTAATGGAAGTAGTTTTGGGAGACCTGAGAGGAAAGCAGTGCCTAGTCTACTTAGATGACATTATTATTTATTCCTCCACACCAGAGCAGCACATGGTGGACCTACAAGCTGTTCTGGACAAACTACAGANACACGATGCATGGAGGCATATACTCTGTCCCATTGCACTCTGTGTCCCTGTGCAAGTAGAGCACCTTTGACCACTCTGCACCCAGCATCTGGCATTGTGTTCTTAATTCCTGTGATTAATGAGTCTAATTCATCATCACTGTACAAGGCTGATATTGAGAGATTATTTTCTGCCATCCGCCTAAAAAGCGTAGCTCTAGACACACCAAGGAGTGTAGCAATAGATTTAGATGGCAGCCCAAGTTCTATAAGATGTGTCATGGTCTCTACTGACACACTCAGTCGTGGACGCTCACGAAAGCCCCTTTGCAAATCGAGTGTTACAAATGTCTGCTCATTCTCCCTCTCTTGCTGGACAACAGTAGTTAAATCAGTTAGTGCAGACAGTATGTGTTCTCCTACACTCACTGTGTCACCTAGAGTATGTAATAAAACTAAATTGTGATGACAAACAAAATGTAACCCTTCCATGTCAACAGGCTGCCTCTCCAAGATGTGTAGCAGTCAGTCGTACAATCTCTGAAGGATTTCACGCCTCAGTGATTCCTACAAAATACAGTGAAATACATATTATTTCATTTTGTTCAATTGTCTTGTGTCGTATGTAAAATAATCATTTTGTGTGCATGAAAAGTGTGATTAAAAATGAATTAAACTACTAAGACAATATATCTTCAAACAATCATGGGTTCAGAATAAATCATAACATACAAATGCTATCATTTGCAGTGGAAACATGGATTACCAAAAATAAATAAAAATAAAGTCTAAAATAGCACTGCTTTCAGCTCTGACAACTGCTCTACTTTGGTTGGGCCCATGCATTTTTTATTTGTTCACGTTGCATAAAAAAACGATATTGACAAATTAAGAACGGATAGATATTTTTTTATTTTATACTCAAAACTGATCATGTAAAATGAGTGATATCTGTAAAAAAAAAATTCTATATACATTCCATCTTTCATAGATTGATAGCACAAACTTGCAATGAAAAAAAAAACTGCAATAGGCCTGTGATGCCAGAAGTAAAGGCAACTCAACACTAAAGCCTGATGCAGCATCAAGTTCCCTATGATCCTCTTGGAGATCATCTTCACATCCTAAATGCACTAAATATCCAGGAACCATTATAATGTTTGACTATCAGAAGACAACAGATGTAGAAATAGAAAATTAGCATTTATTTATTTATTGAGGCTACCTGGTTTGCTAGTTAAAAATTAAGAGTTAAAC